GATAGAACTCACTGTCTTGAAATGATCTAGAAGACGATTTTATAAAACTCAACTCCAAGGCAAGCCGTCTACACGGTCTATTGTTATTAACTATTTGCTTTTTAATGAAAAAATCTTTTCAGAAACTAGATGATCATAGCTCTCCACATTCTCCTTTAATATACTCTTCTAACAAACATAATTTCCTTGCCACTGACATCGAGGTTCCCTCGCCAAGCTCATTTAAGACGTGATCCGAAACAAGAGTCTTTGGACACATCACCAACTTCCGCATTTTAAAATAGTATTTTTTTTTTTTTTTTTTTTTGTCAGTGTTTTCTACATTTTAATGTCAGTAAATTGTTAATAACCATGACTTGCAGATTACTCTCGCCACGATTTTGAATTTGCTGTTGTCTTTCAGGATTGGTTGCCTTCGGTCAGTTAGGTTCTATGAGTGATACACGCTTATGCGATCATATATCTTTCGATACATAACTGACGAGGCAGACTTTTTCCCGCAATAATTTTCCATTTCTTTCTGCGGTAGACCAGTTACCATCGAAGGCTATAGAACCCGGTCTGTCCTGCTATTTACCCATAGCTGGGGTGGGTAGAAGAAGAGGATTCGTACCTTTCCCAAGGGTATTAGCACGTAAGTGAATGTAATGTTGGCCTAACCAAGTCTAAAACCACAATCTGCCCTACTATTTTTTTTACAGCTGTCATAAGAAAACATGGGCCCATACTGTTATTAAATGAATGCATAAACCCGGGCCGAAATTTGAACTCGGACCGCCTGTAATATTATTACTTCACCATACATCCTTAATTTATTTACTAAATATAATTTAGTCAGATATACAGTCACAAATTTAAGGGGAGGTAATCTCGTCTACTTACTACAGTATTACTAGCTTGTTAGTTATCACTTCACACTTAGCGTCCATGTCTGCTAAAGTGTTATGAAATGGTATGTTCCTTTCGGGTTTTGCTCCGAATTTATAAGGATGTAATTTGGAATTTTCTACAAGTCCTGCTGGGGATTTTTTTTTTTTAAGACTCTTCACGAAGAACAAAATGCCCGAAACCGAATGGGACGTTCGCTTTTTCTAAACAATGAATCAAAATAAACTGTTGTGTTTTTTCTTTTTTTTTTTTCTTTTCCGCCCAACGTAATAATGATTTCAAGTCTGTGCAGGTTTTAAATAAGGTTTTCATTAATTCCACGCCAAACTTTCAACGCTCTTGCGAAAGCTGAAGAGAATCCTAAACACCAGTTAGAAGATTTCAATATTTCGAAGATTCGAAACAAACGAAAAAACAAATAAAGAAATAAAAGCAAAACCAGAAAAGCAAAGTTAATTTAATGAGCAAATATTTGTATAAAAAAAAAAGAACATATTAAACATTAGCTTTAGCACAAATAATCCAGGCGGGTGTGTGTTTTAACAATTCAAACCATTGTGATAAAATAAATTTTTTTATCGGTCCAAACAAGTCATTTCCAATGGGAAATGCGGGCATCTTTTGAAAGTAAAACAGACAGTAATTCGAGAAGTTTATTAAGAGTTTAATTCTAAGACGATAATCGCGCTTTATGAATGCAAATTTTAGTTAAACTCAGAACAATTAGGAAACAATAATTTACTGATGAACCTGATTTTCACAAAAAAGAAAATTGATTACAATTACAAATAGGATAATTGCAAAATACAAGAACGGTTAGTGAAATGACACAAAGAATGTTTAATATAAAATATTTTTCTTCGTTCTATTAAGGCTAGCATATGTATATTGTACGAAGAGGGAGTTTTTATTGAAATTTATCTCCAAGAAATAATCCAATCTTCAACGTTTTTTTTTTTTTCAAATCACTGTTGAATAAACACTCCGAATGAAGTATGATTTTTTAAATTTTTTCTAAATTTTAAGTAGGGGTTCAGTTTGCTATGTAAATTTATTGTAAATTGATCCCCTTTTTTGTCTTCTTCGTGTCATGTACCTTCAGGACGTAGGCGATCGTAGCTCTCTCCAATTTCCTCTCCTTCGGAGCTCTTAATAAATTTTATCTTTTTTGTTATTTCTCCAAACCTTTTCCACCATCCATTTACTTAAGTTCACTAAGTATGTTATGCGTTGTTTTCCTCTGTCCACCCTATTCTCAGTCTGTTCCATTAGAATCAGATTTTCCAAGTTATGCTCCCTAGAAACCTCAGCTGTCTATTTCTGATGTTAAGTATAACGCAAGCGAAAAGACATGATCATACTACATGATAAAGCATATTCTTACAAAATTTCAAATAATCTATTGTTAAAATTTAAAAAATAGTATTTAATAACCTCAAAACGGCCACAAAATGTGAATTTAAATCATATTACTTACTAAGCTTTTTATCATTTCACCGCAGTCAAGGCGACGATGCCACTAAGATACAAAACGTTACAGGGAGTGAACGTGAATAAGAAGAGAAGTAGGGGAAAGAGCAATAAAGGAACAGGAATCCGGATGATAGAAGATAGCAATTGATGTTGCATTTGAAATTTTGAAAATTGTAGGTGCCAGGAAAACAAGAAATTGGAAGAGAGTTCCACAGGTGAGAAGTGCGAGAAAAGAAATTATTAGAATAGAACTAACGGTTGCATCTAGCTAGTTCAACAGTTGCCAATTTAGTAGCACGTTTATCATGCAGTCGAGGCACTAAGAAAAACAACTCTTCGGAACAATTGTCATGAAAATATTTGTAGAAAAGTGAGAGCTAAGTTAAATTAAAAACCAGACAAACTTAAAGTTCCATAGATTATATTTTATTATTTCCCCAGGATATGGGATTTTTTTCCTGGTTCCTTAGATCACATTTCCAAGAAAATGGTTTAAAAATTTACATATTATTATTTCTATACAAGTTTTTGAGGGATAGGTTTAATTTAATGTAAAGTGATAGAGAAAAGGGGAGGACAACGATCGATATGATCGAAATTATAGAGGGAAGGGAGAGATAGGAATATGTTTAAATCTATCTTTATTAAGATACGTAAGTGTAAGGGTTATAGGGTAAGGTGCCAGAAATTTTGACTTATTTAACAAGTCCTTACACAGGAAAAGAAAGGAAACAAAGAAAAAAGTGAAGGAAAGAGGTAAGACATAATAGAAAACAAATGGGGAAGCAGGGGTGGGGGGAATATATATATGTATATATATATATATATATGTTTGTGTGTGTGTGTGTGTTAAATTTCTATAATGTACACATATATGTGTGTGTGTATTGAATTTTATTATGTACATATATATATATATATATATATATATATATATATATATATATATATATCCCAGTATAAGATTTGTGTAGACGTAATAAAATTACAATAACCAAAAACGCTATTGTTAAAAGAGTGCTCAACACAGATGATTTGACTAATGGTGAAGGCTGGTGAAGACCACCACACACACACACACACACACACACACACACACACACACACACACACACACATATATATATATATATATATATATATATATATATATATTATCTATTCCAAAATTATAACATAAACATGTTATAACATCACTACAAAAATAGCCATTTTGTTTCAACACTTCTGGTGTCTTCTCAAGTGATGGTGTAGAATGTAGAAGAAAGAGTTTTCTTCCTTCTACATCCAATACCATCACTTCAGAAGACATCAGAAGACTTTTAAGAACAGCGTTTTTGGTTATTGGAATTTTATTACGTGTACATCAATCCTATACTGGGGTATATATAAATACATAAAAATTTAATACACACACACACACACACACACACACATATATATATATATATATATATATATATATATAGAATCTCTTACATCCTGGCGAGAATACAGAATCCATGTTCGGAGAAAAAGCAATCTCAAAAAAACACACAACAACTGACCGACAGTCATTAACGAAGCCTGGAGCTGAATAGAATGTAATCTACCATATGAGAAAGTAAGCCACGTATTCTCATTAATCAATACGAGGAAAAGTCATGGGATAACAATTAAGGTTATTTACGCAGGTTGTTTTTTTTTATTATTGAAGGACAATTTTGTTTTGGTATTTTTTTATTGATTTTTCTAGTTTCCATATCAGATAAAGGATATTTGGATCGAATGGGCATAAGAATTGTCCAGAAGTTCGAGTACTTTCAGCCATCATTAGTCGTTATCAAGAACGTGATGTTAAAGTTTTAAAATTAAATAAGTCTTTTATTTTTCGTTATAGCATTTTGTTTTGAAAATATGAATATTTTATGCCTTTGAACATAGAACAAATCTAAATTATTCTAGTCAAATAAAATGGAAATAGAAAAAGGAGAACGCTGCTAATCAAATAAATAATTTTTATTTTTATTTTTTATTTTCAATTTTTTTCCCATGATGCTAGATTTCATGAGACAATATCTTGCTATTGCAAATTATTAAAGTATTAAAAATATACCTACGACGTAGGGAAATGTGATGACTGGATTGCGCCAATTTTCAAAATGTTTTCAAAATCCTTGCTTTTAATTGATAAATACCCAATAGTTTAGCTATAGTGCACGCTTGAAATATGGAATACCACCGTGCGAGAGAAGGAGGGGAAGAGACAGAAAAAATGAGAGCGTGAAAGGGGTAGAGTTTATTTTTTTACGACTTTTACCCTTCACAGGTCATTTGAAGTCCGAAATATGTTTAGATTGAAAGAATATTTTGGAGATTTTAATGATTTAGTTCAACTAATTAACCCATAGCTGGTGGGAGAATAGGCGAAGTCATGTCTTCTCTAAGGGTATTTGAATATAAATTACTTGACTGGAATTGGAACTCGGGTATCCGATTTCCAATTCCTAGCCGTTGTCTATTACACCACTCGCACACCCAAGCTTACAGCACGTGTTATTCTCAAGTGGTAACTCATCTAGTTACTGACCAGTCTCAACGTTTGCTTACCTTCGGTAACCCTGCGAAAACCAGTGTTTCAGCATGATATGGCCGTAAACCGAAAGGGGTAGAGAGTGGAGGAGTCAAGAGATAGAGAGAGAATGTTTGAGTAAGAGAGATACGCGTGGAAAGATAGAGAAAAAGACGAGAGATAGGAATAGTCAGAAGTAGAGGGTGGAGATGGAAAAACTGTGAGAAATTGAGATACGTATGGAGACAGAGAGGAGGAGGGTGTAGAGAAATAGAAAGGGTGTGCAAAAGAAAATACGTACTGAGAGAGAGAGAGGAGGAGGAGGAGGAGGAAGATGATATAGACAGAATTGGAGAGAGAGGCGTCGGACATAGAAAGAGGAAAGCGATAGATAGAGTGAGATACGTGCGAGGGAGCGGAGAGAAGAGATAGAAAGAATGAAAGAGAAATAGAACGATATATATGTATTTGTTCTCTTTCCTCAAAATAGGTAATTATTTTTTTAAATAACCGAACCGTCGTCCGATTTAAACGTTTATTGTAGCTTGTAAGTACAGAATCTCGTCATCCATTGACAGATTCTTCTAAATGCCCGCATTTTGAAACTAAAACATAACCACAGCCACAAGTCAACTGATCTACTCATGTGTTTGAAGTATTCACTTCGATAAAACCTGAAACGTGTTATTAATTCGCATCATCTTTTTATAAGCGTCTTGTCCGCTGACTGTGGATACCGACCAACAGCCGGTTACAATATTTGGCAAAGCAACCAAGAAATGAATCCAATGATTAACTTGACGCAGTTTTATCTATTGCAATATGACAGCATTCTGTGCTTGTCCAGTGAAAATAATGAGTTTGGAAGAGTAGAAACAATTAAAGATAATTTGAAGTTTTCACTACTCTCGTTTATCAAGTACAAATCAAACACACATCATTGTGTTGTGCGTCTAATATTTTCGCTTCAGGGCCTTCATAATATTACAAGGTCTGGATTTGCGCCGTGTCATGAATTTGATTAATCAATAATTGCACACTTGTTTGCTATAATGATATGAACAAATATTTTCAGAAGCGAAAAAACAGATTATTATTATTATTATTTTCTTTGATTTCTGGCGTTTACATTTCTTTCCGGGTCCCGCCCAGGACCTAAGGTTAGAAATGGCGTCATGACACTTTCCACTGACAAAAAAAAAAAAAAAAAAAATTAAATTACATAGATAAAGCCCTTCGTAAGGTGTGGGCTGTACTTGTCAGAACAATTTTTGTATCTCCTTGAGGCATGGACTTCCAGGAATCCCTTCAATTAGTCTACTGCAATCTTTTCCAACCAGTCCTAGGGCTCCAACTACAACAGGGATTGTTGATGTTCCCATATGCCACATTTTCGAGATTTCTATTTCAAGGTCTTTGTATTTTGACAGCTTTTTGAATATCTTCAAAGCCATGTAGAGTAGGTGATTGAATATTTTCTTATTTATTTTGTAACCATAGCTACTGTTGTTTAATTCATGTGTATTATTATTATTATTATTATTATTATTATTATTATTATTATTTCCTTTGATTTCTGCTGTATACTCATCTTTTTTTGTGTGTCCCACCCAGGGACCTAATGTCAGAAATGGCTTCAAGACATTTTCAACTGATCGGGGGTTTTTTTGTAAAAAAAAAAACATACATAGATCACACTTATTTTACATAGATGAAGCTCTTCGTAATGGGTGAGTTGTACTTTTGAGTAAAATATTTTCTATTTCTTTAACGTATTTGCTACCAGGATTCCCTTCAATGAGTCTATCGGAACTTTTTCTAATCAATCCCAAGGCTCCAACCACAACTAGAATTATAGATGTCCTCATGTGCCACATTTTTAAAATTTCAAGATCCTTGTATTTTGATGGGGTTTTTTTTAAGATCTTCAAAGATACATGACAATCTGCAGGGGCTGCCATGTCAATAAGAAACCACATTCCGCCTTTCTAGTCTTTCTTTGATCCCAATGTCTAGTCGATTAGCTTTGGTTGATCTGTCTGTGTGTATTGTAAATTCTCATAAAATTGTTACAGGTCCTATCTCTGTAACCTGGCCTAGGTGATGTTCATATTAATTTCTTACAGTTTCTTTCCCGTAAAAGTTACATATTTTGAAGGGTAGATATTGGCCCAATTTATCACGTCGAGTTTTATATTCATTTCGTACTAACACTGCGCAACCTGATAAAAGATGATCAGTTGTTTCTGGCTATTTATTACAGAATCTGAATTTGGGGTCAGCACAGTTTTACTCTATGTGGGTTTGGTAACTTCTAGTTAACAAGCATTGGTCCTGTGCAGCAAGAATAAAACCTTCAGTTTCAGCTTTTAACCGTGCACTACGCAGCCACTGATTGGTACGGGGTTTGTCTACATCAGCTTGTTAGGGATATTTACTTGACCCCCCCCACTGAGTCAAGTTGTGACACAAGGTCGGTTTTTAACGTGGGGACCCGAGTGTTTTCACTCGGACCGCTGGTCTAAGCTGGTCCAAGCTGGTCTTAGCTGGTCATAGCTTGTCCAAGCTGGTCAGAGCTGGTCTAAGCTAGTCATAGCTGGTCAGAGCTGGTCATAGCTGGTCTTAGCTAGTAATAGCATGTTTAAGCTGGTCAGAGCTCGTCTAAGCTAGTCATAGATAGTCTTAGCTGGTCATAGCTGGTCATAGCTTGTCCAAGCTGGTTAGAGCTGGTCTAAGCTAGTCATATCTGGTATAGCTGGTCATAGTTTGTCCAAGCTGGCCAGAGCTGGTCTAAGCTAGTCATAGCTGGCCCAGGCCGGAGCCGGTCCAAGGTAGTCGTAGCCGTGATACTACCAGCAACAGGGCCGAAGCACAAGTTCCAGGACATCAGCTTGTTAGGTACGGGCAGAGTATTGAACATGAATAGACTTATTTTTCCATCGTTTCTGCATTTGGTACATTGCATTTGCATTTGCTTTCTTTTTTAGGTTCTTTGCCGCTGCATTAGGTCTGTTATGGTTTATTTGCACATCTTCACTCACTTGAACTTCCATTTTGAATTCCTTGGCTACCTTTATTACTTCCGTTCAGCATATTGGCATTCAAGGGTCTTTACAATTTACTATGCTTTGTAGGTCTAAGTAATCTTTCTTTCCACAATATTTCTCTCATTATATTATATTATCTCATATTATGCCATCCATATATACAAGCTAGTTAGGTAGTTTCATTTTGTCCCTCTTGTTTTCAGTATCTCCTGTGAGTGTCACATTTTCCAAGCACTCTTTTCTTATTATGCGTCGTTTAAATTTCCATATTGCTAACATTTTTCTTTCAAAGCTTTCTCAACATCCTTCTGTAGAACCACATCTCTGTAGTCTCAATCCCTTTACATCTGTGAAGAAATTGTCCAGCATTTATTGCCATGTGGCAGATGGATATTACACAGTTGTTTAGCACTTTGGTTAATTTTTTTTAAAAGGTTTCGCTTTTCTAATGATTTTTAAAGTTATAAAAAATTTCTCTAAGAACGCACACACACACAGGTACAAGCAGAATAATAAAAAGAGATAGACAAGACCTGCTCTTATATCTGTAAAAATGCTTGGGTCTGCTTAATAGTTGAAATAGTTGTGAATTTTCTTTCTGCACCATTGGTAGGTGTTCGAGCCATGGTAAAAATAATGACTTCTTAGGCTAAACTTCAAGGTGAGACATCCCACATTTACGATATTACGGCGTTGCACATTTTTTATGTTCTGATTTCTTCGTTTCAGCTGCACACTCTTTCTCGTCACAATACATCTGTCACATTTATCAATCTGCCATTCATCGGTGCATTGAACACTGTTGACGAATCTTGGCTGGTGATCTCGAGATTCAATTCAACGAGGTGTCTGTAATGTAATCGATCTTGACCTGGCATCTCGACTTCAGTCACTTTCACACCGATATGACATGGTTTCCCCTCTGTCTTTTCTACAAATATTTTCATGGCAATTGTTCCAATGAGCTCTTCTCCTTTGTACCTCGACTGCATGAATTTAATCGTGCTACTAGATTGGCAGATAGGTCTCACCGTTTTACTGTTGAAATAGGTAGAGGCAACGTATTTTCTATTCTAACAGATTATTTTCTCGCCCGTGGAAATCCCCCCAGACTTGTTTCTTCTTGTCCACCTACGATCTGCAAAAATTAAATGCAATACAAAGCATTATATTCTGTCTTTCTGAAACCCGTTCTTGTCTTTTGAAACCTAAGTCTTCTCATTTTTCTTTAATTCCTAGTAACCCTTGTGTCTTAGTAGCATTATCATCTTACAACTTAAAACGATAAAAAAAAAGCTGAGAAAACACCTATAAAACATTTGGGCCTAATGCAGTATCTAAAACAGCTAACTACTCCTTACACGAAGTGAGTACTCGAGTGTTCTCACCCAGATAATAGCAAGTGATGCTGATTTTCACAGCAGGCTGAATTTCCGTATGAATGAATAGGTACAAGTCTTTCTACGTGCATGCACCTCTTATTAGTTCAAGTAAATATGGATGCACCAACAGAAACGTTTCGAAATCGGTATAATACTGTTCGTATATTGTCTGCTGAGTAGATCGATTTTCTAAGACGAGTGAACAATAAAGAAATTATTCTCCAAGATCTCTACTTAAGAATTAATGGATTTCAATCAATAATCCTAGAATCTATATGTAAATGTTACATACAATCAATCAGACTAACCCGAATAATCCAAATGTGGTCAAAAGATTGAGTTTTATATTTGATATTCATGTACGGTTCTTATTTTTATCCTTTCTATAAAGTTTGATTCACACTGTCTATTTAATGTAGTTTCTTGCCCTGTAACGTGGTTGTTTACTATAAGAGTTCTTACAAGTCTTTCATAATAATACTTCTCCTTTTGTGTGCCAGAAAGTGGGCGATTATGGAACTCTGCAATTCCCTATCCTTTGTAATTCTTAACAATCTTTGTCTACTTACTATCCTTCCAGGTCCATATTCTTCTATGGATTGAAACAAGTTTTTTAGGAAGTTCACGCACTGTTTCTCTCTGTCCTTCAGTATGTCCCGTAAGTGCCAAATTCTCCGAACCTTCTTTTCTCATTATGTGTCATGGAACTTTCAGCTGTCTCCTTCTAAGTCCAAGTATAAGTGTCGTTTTTCCCCCATTTCTTTAAAAACGCACTAGCCACATGCTCCGTCCATGGTATTTTCAACTTTGCCCTATAGCACTACATTAGTGTTGCCTCAAGTATCCTCTCAACCTGCGAAGAGACTGTCTGGCATTCAATGCTATATTTGAATGTTTTAAAGTGTGGAGTCTCACTGAGAAGTTCATTACATCGAATGGATTCATTTTTTTTTTAAGTAATGAAGTCTATGGAGTCAACTTTGAAGACGGATTAGAGCTTTGAGATTAGACTGTTTTTCTTTTAGTTTTTCCACGTTCATTCTTTGAATGA